GCTCTCTCTCTCTCTCTCTCTCTCTCTCTCTCTCTCTCTCTCTCTCTCTCTCTCTCTCTTAAGGGGTCATCATGGGTTAGGCCAGGCTTTACACCTATGATATGGGCTATGGCCTAGGTCCAGGCCTACGTCTTTCGAACTACCTGTTTTTTGGTAAGCGGGTGGAGATGATGGAACTGTGTCATAATTGATCCAATTCGAACTACCCAAATGAGCAACTGGAAAAACCCAATACCCAACAAGTGTGTTTTTGGGTGTGTATTCACACCTAGCTTGTATTGGGTACAGTTGAATATTCCTGGCTCCGCCACTGTATAAAACACCTGCTTTATCATGCAGTGTAATTGCTACTTATGTAAGTAGTAATCTTGGTGTGGCATGTTTTCTCTTTTATTGTGCTTTTTTATCTCCTTTTCTCAATAGCATTTTCAAACCCTGCAAGTGTGGTGTGGAGAAAAAGGAAAAATAGCACCATTGCCTGTATACATATCATGATCCTGTTTCACCATTCCCTTCTCTTCAATGTTATATCTATTGATAAACTATGGGCCATTAAATCATTTCCCACTTGCCATATTCATTATGCTTTAATAAATTGATATGCAATTCAATGTGGACTTTTAAGTGCCTTATCGGTTTTATTTTGCAGTTTCTAAGCCAGGCCGAGTACTTGAGAGGAATTGAGATATATGAGTCAATCATCCAAGCATATGCATCCTACATGAATAAAGATGACGCAAAGGACGAGTTGTAAGAGAGCAGCAGGGGCCTTGTCTTTTACAAGAGCAAATGCTACATCAGTAGCTTCATTGTAATAATGTAAGGGGGGCTACAGATAATTCAAGTTGATAACGAGAGCTGTAAGTGTCAACTGTGTAAACTATGCTAAACAAGGAGGCATGATGAGACTTCTTTCTCACAATCTCCATCCAATTCAATTGCTAGATCATCTCTTCGATCTTGGTCCCTGAAACTTGTAGCTTAATGTGCACGACAATTTAATGCAATATTAGCCGAGTAGTTTTGAGAATATTTAGAAGCTCTTGCAGACTTTGTTTTCGTTGTAAGCTTATTACTAATTAGAATGGGAGTTAAAAAAAACATTTTAGGCTATGTTTGATTTGAAGGAAATAGTAGGTAAAGGTAAGCAAACCTTTACAAAGCTTGTATAGGTTCCCTTACCTTTCCCTTCCTGTCCCTACTTTTTTTTTCAAACCAAATACAACCTTATGGCCTATTCGTTGTTTTTTCGGATTTTGAAAGGGGAAAGTTGGTTAATAGGATTTTGGTTTCCACATATTAACCCTTATTTTTTTTTACATTTATGTGAGGTTTATGAAAATTTTATTTATTTTTTGGGTATTACTCGAGTAAATGATATACATCTTCCAGGTGGGTAAGTAATATTTTTACCTAAACTTTGAGGAAAAAAAGAATATGGATAAATATGTTTATCCAAGTAAATATTTCCCATATTTACCCTAATAAATAATTGGGTTTATAGCAGATAAGATAAGGGCAACTTTTGGCCCTTAATATCAATAAAAGTAATATATTTAAAAAAATTTTAAAAATAGGTTAACTTTTTAAAAATAATATCAATTAAGGGCAAAAACATTGGTCATCTTCTTCTTCTTGCAATCCATTCATTGGCGCCGCCTCTAACAACGTTGCCGGAGGTGGGTGGAGACAGAAGCGGTGGCGGCAGCACTGGTGGTCATTTCTCTACCCAATGCCGCCACCTTCGCCCACCTTCGCCTCCGTCTCCGGCAACATTGCCGGAGGTGGGTGGAGGCAGAGGTGACAGACGGCAGCACCGATGAATGGATTGCAAGAGGAAGAAGATGAATAATGCTTTTACCCTTAACTGATATTATTTTTAAAAAAATAACCTATTTTTGAATTTTTTTTTAAATATATTATTTTTATTGATGTTAAGGGCCAAAAGTTGCTCTTATTTGCTATAATCGCATAATAATTTCCTGAAAAGCGAATGAGACAAGGGAAAAATTTAGAGAATAAGAAGGTGGAGGGGGGTAGGGGAGCAACCAAGTTTGCAAATTCTGAACTTTGGTTAATAAGATGAGGATCATTGTCGAAGAACGAATGCTGTATCATATCATATCAGGCTATGATCGTCATCAAAACAAGTATTACTATGGGCGGTGGGCACAATATTAGCATGCATTAAACTTAAATCTACACATTACATGCCAGCCAACAGCACAAGGTCTAACTGCAACCATTCAGAATCAGAGCTGCGACTCATCCAGGGAGCAGACTTAGGTGATCGCTTATAAGACATATTATAAGATTGTCATTCAAAAGAAGATGAATCATTAATAGGACCCGTTTGGTATTTAGCGATAAGTAAGTAGGACAATCAATAAGTTGACCATGAATCCCGTATTTATTTTCTACTATATTGAGTCCTATGGTATTTAAGGATACCAGAGAATCATGTGGATAAACAATTCATCCCTGTTAGAGAATAAAATCTATTTAAGGATTTAACAGCTTAAGATTTTAGGTTGAACGGTTCTTTGAGATGGTATCAGTCACTTTGACCAGGTAGTCTACTATTGGATGTCATCGTATTATAATATAAGGGTAATTGTCCAAAATCCATTCACTTTTTCTGAATTCTCTTAAACCCACCACAACTTTTCAAAACGTCCAAAATTCACCATGTCATTGAGATAACGATAACTTGATTAACAGGCATCATTAATTTATCATTTTACCCTTCATCGGTCATTGCTTCCCCTTTGTTTGAGAACTTGAAGAAGAACAAGATGCGTCAGAGAAGAACAGTCTGCAACTTCTCACTGGTCGCTGCTTTCTCATACCTTCGTCTAAGAACGGTCAGATGCTCATGAAGACTGTCCCCATCGTCTGAAAAGAAGAGCAGTTGGAGTACAGCCCGCAACTTCTCACCGGCCGCTGCTTCTCTCATCGTCTGAGAAGAAGAATGGTCAATTATTGCCTCTCTCATGGTCTGAGAAGAAGAACATTTTGAATATTGCTTCTCATGTTTATGCACAAACACATACACTATTAAGGTTCCTTCACAGGATTTTTCGTTCATCTGACAAACCTTTTGACTGCCTAACCTTTTGAACTTGCTCAATTGGAGCTATTGCATCTGAACTAAACATCTCCAGGCTTTCCATGACCTTTCTTGTGCGATAAATCCAAAGATTTCAAGCTCCTTGGAAACCTCACGCTCGACAGATCAAAGTCTAGCTGGTTATTAGATAGATTGATCGACGTTGCTGTTGCATTCTCCCTGAACAAAATCGATGCGTCCCCGACGAGATTGTTATACGACAAATCGAATGAGTTGGGTATGTTTCTGGTGAGTCTGTTCCATCCTAGGCTAAGAAGCTTCAGTTCATTGAGGTTGACGAGGGAAGTTGGGGTTGAGCCAGAAAGCTGGTTGTAGGGCAACTCCAGCTCCCGGAGATTTTTGAGTTAGCTGAGGAACTCTGGGATGGGGCCGAAGAGAGTGGTGTTACGTCTGGTGAGGGATACCGGAGTCTGAAGCTTTGTGAATGATGAAGGGATGGAGCCAATGAGGTTGGGGATGTCATAGAATGCAAGGGCCAAGAGGTGGGAGAGGTCACCAATGGCTGCTGAAATTTTGAAGGGAGATTTGATAGAATCAAGGACCAGAACAATGACTTCACCGGAATATGCCCCGCACCTGACATGGCTCCAGTCACAACATTCCTTGCTGGAATTCCAGTCTGTCAAGTAGTCAGGGATGTTCAAAGATTCTTTGATTCTCAAGAGGGCTCCATTGTCAGCTGGGTTGCAGCGAGGAGTGGAATCATAGAGAGCTGGAGATGGGAGAGAAGATGAAACGAGGAGGAAGAGTAGGATGAAAGAAGAAGTAGAAGAAGAGAAAAACTTCCATGGGAATCCATTTTCATTGTTTGTTGATAATTAAGTCTGAAGAAAGTGCAACAAGTGTGCTAATTTATATGCATTTCGGTCGAAAAAACTTTCATGGGCAATTTAGTCATGAAATATGCATTTCGGTAAAAAAAAAAGTTTAACAAGCCAATTCACCATTCAGGGGCAGTTTAGTTATGAAATATGCATTTAGGTTGACGTGGACAATTTGGGTCATTCAACTTTAACCGTGTTGTAACAATGATGAGTCTTAGAAAATAAAATCTCAGTGAGTTTTAGATATTTTAAAAAATTGTGATAAATTTAAGAGAATTCAGAAAAAGTGAGAGATGGATTTTAAACAATTAATTATAATATAATTAATTAAGTTTCAGCACAAGATATAAATAGGCCTATACTGTTCACACTTCGTACCCAATGGACTTGTCTTCTATATCATTTGAATGTTCAACGAAGAAAATTGTCTCCATCCAAAATCCAACCAATTAACCTGACCCACTCCAGTTGAGATGGCAGAAAAGAGTGACCGCAGAGGATCACGTTCACGTTCACCGGCCAACCCAACATTCGAATTATTATTAACCAAAATCTAATTATCAAGCTGGAAAGTGGAAACTATTGTTTCACTGACTGAATTCAATCATCCAAACTGACCTCCTGTTCCAAGTCTTTTGGCTTGGCTGAAGAATTTAGTTTTAATTTAAGTTAAGCAACCTAAGCTGTCCGACTCCATAAAAGGAAGTGCTTCCCATGTTACATTATGAAGAAATAGAATATTAGAAAGAAGACTTAAGGCTTAAGTTAATCTTCATCAATGATCAAACACAAAAGCAGAGACTTAAACTAATCAAGCTTGCAATGATTTTTTTTTTCAAAAAAAAGAAAAAAAAGCAGAATCTCGCCATCTTGACGCAATTCTCGAGAAAATAAACCATTGAGATTCAAACCGCCTGCTGTGCTGATCCCAAGTTACTGGACTCCCATAGAATCTTCTCGAGGGTTCATCCTGTCTTGGATTTTTGTTTTGTTCCCTCATCCTTCCCTCGCCCCAATCCCACTCCAAAGACTTGCTAAAACAAAGAAAGAAAGAATCAAAGATGCGAGAATATCCGTACGTCGCCTTCCAATTTTTTGCATCTTTACTTTACCGGACCATCTCCGGATCAATTTTCATCATCAACGTCATCACCATGTATTGATGAAGTGCACCTTGTGACGAGCAGATTCTAATTTTCAAACAATTGATTCTCCATCTCATTCGGAATTGCTTTTTTTGTCAAAAACCATTAATTTAATTAGTAATTCACTGACCCAGGTGATCGAATTATCAATCCCTTTGGCTCGAACAACGATTTTAACTGTTTTTTACATTTTTTTTAAATTATAATGAATTATTCATTTAAACTGCATCGTCAAACCACTAACCCAAAAATCGATGGTCAAAACAGTCTCATTTTCCGATCGGTCATTAAATCAAATGCTCCTCTATGCTGATTCCTGAACTTTTATCAATAAATATTGATTAAAAGCCGTAAATTGCCACGTAAGCATAGATGCAATTGTAAGCAAGAAAACAACACTACCCAAAAAATACCAAACTTGTTCCACGGTTTATTTGGTGAGGCAAAATTCTCTTTTTCTTTTTTTTTTACTCTTTCCCTTTTGCCCAATGCGGTGCGGTTCGGGCAAAGAGATCAATCACATTTCATTAATGAGAACATCAATCACAGACGAGACAAGGCGTGATGAAGATAGAAATAAAAACAAACGGCAACCCTCCCCTCCCCTCCCTTTTGGCTGGAGAGGTGGGGTGGGGCCTGCCTCCATCAATTGGATTGGATGATCACAACCATCCGAACTGGAATTGATGATCACAAACATTTCCTGAGTCTCTCTTCTCATCAGAACCAAGGTGCATGTGTTAAGTACACTACACAAACTCCTCTCTCTCTCTCTCTGTATATTGGTTGTGTCTAGACTTGAAAGATAAAGATCCTGTCTAGAAAAGCAAAGTTGGACCCGTCAAAGCCCATCATTTCAAAAACTTGGAGACTCGCATTGCTTTCCATAGACGAGGAGCCTTGAAGCTTGAGCTCGTAAACCCCCCTCGAGATAACCGTTTTCCTGTTTTTTCTCGTTTTCATTGCTCTTTGAAAAAGCAAAGCAAAGCATATCAAATACTCCTACTTCTCTCTCAGACCTACCACCTCTCCACTTTTCTGTTTGTTCCATCTTTTCTCATGTCCCCATCGTCCTATATATGCCAACATTCCTCTCCTCTGTTCATTCCCTCCCCTCATTCCAATTGTTCTCTAATCATTTTGTTGTCCCTGTTTGTTTCCCTCCTCACACTCCTCTTCTCCTCAATATCTACATCATCATCATTATCAAATTCATCATTTCTCAATCTAGGCTTCTTCTTCATGGAGGTATGGTTTTCTTCTCTCTCTCTCTCTTTTTTTTTTTCTTATGGGTTACTGTAATTCTCAATCTCAAGGGTTTTGTCCACTCCACTTGAGTGAGATATTCACAATTTCACATGGTCAGAGAGATTGAATTTTCCATTGTCAAAGCTATATGGTTATAACCTGAGGGCTTGCTTCTAGAGGCCAGCAGCCTCATTGATTTAACCATTTTTCACTGCTTACTATATTTTCTATTCATGGCTACTACACAAAAGTGAATAACAATTAACCTTGATCTGAACAAATTTGCTTTTCCCGTTTACACAATTTCTTTGGTACATTGCAGACTGTGGAATTGAAGGTGGAGATGGTTGGCATACATGAGAAGAGACTCAGGAAATGCTTATCAAAAATAAAAGGTGTGATTGTTATTTTAGCATTAATCATCATTTAATGAACAAATCTCAGTATATATATATATATATATATATATGAAGCAGTTGAGTTGATGAATATCAAATGTTTTGGTTCATCTCTCTACACACAGGGATTGAGAAGGTTGAAGTGGATGTTAGCAGTCAGAAGGTTACTGTAACAGGGTACACGCATCGGAACAAGATACTCAAGGCTCTCAGAAGAGCTGGATTGAAAGCAGAGTTTTGGTCTGCACAGAATGAACTCCTTAATGCCTATGCCAGTGCAAGCTATGGAAGCTTGAGATTCAGCAATTTCAGCTTCTTCTAGTGTTTTCTTTTCTTCTTGACCATACACTAACGCTTGACGTTTTTTCATTGGTTTTATATGTTTCTGCTCTCATCTGTCCTGTTTTTGTTTTCTTTCTTTTTCTTTGAAAAAGGAAAGGGCACTTGTTCCTCACATAGAGTGAAATGACGAATATCAAGTTTCTTTATTTACATGTAAACATTAAAAATAGTGTTACTAGTACAACTTTTTCTTTTGTGTTTGTTTTCCTAGCCACGTGGCAAATAAATTTGAACCGGCCTTAAAATATGGGATCTTTATCGATTAAGGGAGCGCTTTGGGTTGGTGGGCCTCACACATCGGCTGTTACGCATCTTATTCTTACCCCCACCCCCGCACCAGTCAATGAGTCCCATCAGAGACATTGCCTTAATCTAGCCGTCCGATCATTGCATTTTTCTGATAGTCTTTTATAGAAATAGAACAGGTTTAACTCTAATTTGTTCAACTGATTTTTGGCTACTTCAGTGGATCTATTTGTTCTACCAAAAAATAAAAGACAATGAATCTATTAAGTGCGAGTGATCGGTGGTGGGTTCCGATTGCAAAACAGACTGACCCAGGACCAATCAGTGGTAGGTCCTGGAGCCACGGAAGCAAGATAAAAGAAAGACGAAGACGATATCATAGGCCCACTTTGGTATCTTTACTACATATTTTTGTTTTTGAGAAAATTATTGTTTTGGAACAGAAATCCTGTTTTTTGTTCCTGATAAAATCACTGATTTGTTTGACAAATTATTTCTTAGGAACATATTTCTGTTCTATAAAAATAGAAATGATGTTTGTTTGGATAGTCCTATTAATTTTTAAGATTTTTCTTTAGACCAATACACTTAAAAACGATTAAATGATTGTTACAAAAAAAAAAAAATACCACACTTTTAAAATCTTTACATGATTTACGAAATAATTAAAATTACGGAAAAAAATTTGGAGAATAATCAATAAGGAAAGAAATTACAAATCATTTAAAAAAATCATGCTTATCTTTGAAATTGTATATTTGTATACATACACACATAAGGCTGTGTTTAGTTGTACTAATACAAATGCATGGGAGTGCAAATAAAAAAATGCAAATTTTCATTTAATTTTATTTTATTCTATTTCATGTCTTAGTTTACTTCATTTGTAATGCAATCAAACAAAATAAGCTAAAATTTGAAATAAGAATAGGTCAGAATTTACACTTAAATCATTTGCACTGCCACAGTTTTGCACCAGTGCAAATTTATTTGCATTGCAACCAAACACCAAAAACAGCCTAAGAGACAAATACAAGCTCTTGGTAGCCTGTTCTTGTTCTAGAACAGGCTGTTTCTCCCTACAAAACACGTCCAAGCATGTTTCTGTTCCACAAAACGTCTGGAACAAGAGAAACGTTCCCATGAAAGAAGGGATGTCAATGGGTCGGGTTAATAAATGGTAAATCCGGCTTGACCCAATCCTATAGGGTCGGGTTAGGGTCAATTATATTTGGTTTAGGATCGGGTTAGGGTTTTGATTCTTTGAACCGAATTGGGTTCGGATTTTGGCTGACCCGCCCCGTTAGGTCATGATACTCTGCTTACATACCAAGTATTCTTGCAATTTTTTTACTTCTAACTTTATAGGCTTAAAGTTTATAATTTATTTATATGTTGATTTTGATTTTCTTCTTTTTTTAAATGGAGAAAATAACACCTTAGAATCTATAAAACAATTACCATACTTAAACTAATGTATTTCAGGTCTTTAAAATGTGTTAAAAAATACATTTGAAATTATACAAGTCAAGCCAGGTATTTTTAAGCCGAGTCGGGTTGGTTTCGGGTTAGGGTGTTGGAGGGTCAAGTTAGAGTTGAGGCAAACCTATGCCAAACCCGACCCGTTGACATCCCTACATGAAAGCGGTGCGGACTGGGGCCTTATAATCCTATCCAAAACATGGCTGAGCCTAGGGCTCCATTGCACGTTTGCAGTAATATAAGGGATTTGGGCCGATCCAGTATTGGCCCAATTAAGCACTCCAGGGTAAAAGAACTGGCTCAGTTGAGGATTATCAATCAAATAAGTAAAAGTTGTTTCACATGTCGTTGCTTGAAGTGCTAAAACCATTAAGCTTGTAGAGCCCTTTTGGAGTATTTAGCTTCGCCCACATAAAAGAGTCGGGTGTGACAATAGGGCTTAAAGCTAACCTAACCAGTTGGCGGAAGTCAAAGTTTATTGATCCCCAACATAAATTAAATGAATTAGAAACCTAGATAATCCAAGTGGAACAATCTACCCCCTGGGATCAAATAAGAATTGTCTTTATACAAGAGTTGTGATGATATACAATCACAGATTGAGAGTTTTTGGAGACAAAGATCTAGACAACTCTGGTTGAACTTGGGAGATAAAAATACAAATTATTTTCATAAAAGTACAATGTGTTGCCAAAGGAAAAATGAAATCCATGGTATCAAAAACTTTCAGGGATCTTGGGTGACAGAGCATAAAGACATTCTAGGAGTCTTCATCTCTTATTTTTCAAACTTTTTTACCCATCAACCATCTAATGATCTAACCTTTATTGACAATATTTTTACCCCTATCATTTCTAAGGAAGAAAGATAATAGGAATCTGACTGCCATCCCTTCTGAGGAAGAAATCAAATCAGCTCTCTTTAGTATAGGCAGTCTCAAATCTCCAGGACCGGATGGTATGCCTGCTCTAGTTTATAAAGAATATTGGGATCTGATGGGTACTGAAATCATAGCTTTTGCAAAGGAATTTTTCCAAAATAAGAAGCTATTGAAGCGTCTCAATCATACCTTTATATAACTTATTCCCAAAAAAGAAAACTATACTAAAGTTTAGGATTATCGTCCAATCAATCTTTGTAATGTCTTATATAAAATTATTTCAAAGATTCCAGACAATAGACTTCGTACTGTTCTGGATAAATGTATTTTCCCCAATCAATCAACTTTTATTCCAGGATGACAAATGGTAAATAATACCATTATTGCCCATGAAATGTTTCATTTTTTAAAACATCACAAAAAAGGTATAGGCTATGTGGCTATTAAATTGGACATGGCAAAAGCCTATGACCGACTGGAATGGTCTTTTCTCCTTGCAGTTTTAAAAGCTTAAGAGTTTTCCAAGGACTTTTGTCATATCATTCTAGAATTATCTCTTCTGTCTCTTACTCTATTCTCATTAATCAGCTCCAAGGCTTACGAATAGCACCTAGAGCCCCTATTATTTCTCATTTACTTTTTTGCGGATGACATTCTATTATTTTTAAGAAGCCATCAAGATGAACTTGATGCCCTTAAAATCATTCTTCATCACTTTCAAAATGCCTCAAAGCAACTGATTAATTTAAAGAAACCAGGCATTTATTTTAGCAAAAATACCCATCCTAGACATCAAAGAATGATTCGGAGACAACTTCAAATGAAAAACCTCCTTGAAAATTCTAGATATTTAGGTCACCCTTTGAATTGGGGAAGAAATAAGCATTCCCAACTTTCGTTCATTCTGGGTAATCTTAAGAATAAACTTAATAGTTGGAAAGCTTCCGCTATCAGTCAAGCAGGCAAAGGATTCTCATTCAATCTGTTCTTCAATCTATTCCTACTCATACCACGATTGTAGCCCAACTGCCCCAAAAAACTATTATTGCTATTGATCGTATTATAAAAAATTTCTGGTGGGGTAAATCAAATACTAATCTCCATCCTTATCACTGGTGTTCTTGGAGTAAACTGTCTCTTCCTAGATCTTCTGGCGATTTAGGGTTTAGGGAAATTAAATTGGTAAACTTAGTCCTTAAGAAATTCGCTTGGAGATACCTTAATGAACAACACAAATAGTGGGCTCAATTATGGAAATCTAAATATCTTCCCAATAATGTAATCTTCCCTTGCTCCATTCCTTGTTCAAGCTCTTATTTTTGGAAATCTACTGCGCCAAAAATTCAAAGTCTTCTTCAGGAGGTAGGTTTTTTAGTCTTGGAATCATCTACTGGTAAAATTGACTAATTTCCTTGGATTCAAAATGGTAACACGTTTCAAATGCTTAATCATCCCATTCTTGCTCATCTATCAAACCTTACCTTCATGGATCTCATCAGTAATGGAATCTGGAATATATCTATAATCCAAACTTATTTCGATAGCATCCAAATATCTCAGATTCTTAAAAGTCCTATCCTCCCACCAAATACTTCTTTTTCTTGGATCTGGACCAAACGCTCATCAGGTAAATTTATATCCTCAGTACCATACAAAGATTTACTTTAGGATTACATACCACAATTATCTGACCAATTCAAATTTTGTATTAAATGGATCTGTCGCCTTCCTTGCCCTCCCTGTTATCAACTATTTTTCTGGCATATTATTCATGGTTATATCCCTGCGAAGGAGAAAATTCTTTTTAGAAATCAAGATCAAACTTGTGTATTTTGTCAAAATCATCCAGAATCCTTGACTCATTTGTCTAGAATGCTCCTTTACACAATCCATCTTATTGGTTTCTCCTTGGAATATAAATTTAAACAACATATCTCATTCTACTTGGGTTAACTGCATTGTTGAACTTGATCATAAGATTTCTGTCAGATCTCTGTTTAGGAAAATTCTTAGCCGGTATGCCATTGCTCTATACTATATTTGGTTTGCGTGCAATGAAAAAAATTTTAAGGATTCAACTATTTCCAATGTTTGGGTTATACGAAAAGTTAATACTTTCTTTAATGATATTTGGATTCTCAAACTAATCCAAGTTCAACTCAGGAGTTACCCCCACAACTTTGTTTACATGTAAAATCATCTACTGATTGCCTCATATTCACTGATGCAAGGAAAACCTATCATTCTCTTTTTACTTATGGTGTTATCATACTAAATACCCAGTTGGAATGTCTTCAAGTTGCAGGAGGCAGAAAACGTTTAAAATCAATGGAGGAAGCTGAGTTTTTTGCTATCTTTCAAGGAATTTCTCATGCGCGTCAACCGGAAAAGTCCAATATTTTGATCTACTCAGATTCTCAATTAATTGTTCATGCACTCCAAAATAGAACTTCTTTACACTGATTGACTTTGGGACTGTTAACAAAAACAAAAAAATCTGTTTTCTTTTTTTCGTTCTATTCAATTTTTAGCTATTAA